TCTCCCCACCACAGCCATTTATGCAGCATAGAAAGTTGAGGCCCAGAGAGTAAAAGAGACTTCCCAAGGACATGCAACTAGCCAGTGTCCAGGGTGTGATTAGAACTCATGTCTCCTCGCTTCAAATTCAAGGCTTTTCTCATTATACCCTGCTAGCTTGAGAAAGACATCTCCAAGTCCCTCTTCCCAGCTCCAAAGGAAGCCCGAGTTCTAGCTTCAGAGCCCAACTGTACCTCCATCTCCAATTGTGATTTCTAGATGTCCATCAGAGTCTGTGGCCCTCCAAAGTGTGGTGGGTCCTGGTGGGTGTGTGTGCAGGGGGTGAAGGATGGATGGATGAGGAGTCATGGAGCTTCTTGCTGGAATAAAAGGCTCTCAAATCATCATTATTCACTCAGATTTTTTTTTCTTTGTAGGGTGCAGGGGTGGGAGGGTGCATGTGTACATACATGCACACACATGTGTGTATAGTTATATGCATGTGTATATACACATGTACACTCATTAGTTTGCTCAAATGCCATTAAAGCTAGAAGGGACCCAAAAGGCCATCAAGTCTAGGGGTTCTTTTTAAAAATATATATAAATTTTTTTTCAGGTTGGTTTAAAATTTTTTCAGTCCATAAAAAGTAACAAAAAAATTTATTTGATAACTACATTTCAATATATTAATTTCCTCTGTCATCCTATGTGTTTTGTTGTGTGCATTTAAAGACATGATTCAGAAAAGGGGCCCATAGTCCTCATGAGACATTGCCCAAGGGGCCCATGACACACACAGGTTAAGAACTCTTGGACTAGTCCAGACGTCTCCTTTTAAAGAGGTATAAAGGGAGGCCTTGAGAATGAGGCAGCTAGGTGGCACAGTGGAGTCAGGAAGATTCCTCTTCCTGAATTCAAATCTGGCCTCAGATGCCTACTAGATGTGTGACCCTGGGCAAGTCATTTAACCCTGTTTGCCTCAGTTTCCTCATCTATAAAGTGAGCTAGAGAAAGAAATAGCAAACCACCCCAGCACCTTGACCAGGAAAACCCCAAAGTGGGATCATGAAGAGTCTGAAATGATCAAACAACGGCAGGGAATGGAAATGACACAGATTGTCAATAGCAAAGCCAAGGCACCATCCACTGTTACTTGGCCATATAAGAAGGAAGACAATCAGGATAAGGAACTTGGAGGTCTCGCCATATGTAAATCAACAAAAGGAACTGGGAAGGTTTATTTGGTCTGGAGAAGACTTGGGGGGGGGGGACAGGAGGCTGTGTGTGATGACAGTTGTCTTCAAGTATTGGAAAAGCTGCCATGTGGAAGAGACCAGTGGTTCAGAGAGCACTGAACATGGAGTCACAGGACCCAAGTTTGAATTCTGACTCTGGCGCTTAGTGTTTGAGTGACTCAGTCAAGTCATTTAACCCCCTGAGCTTCAGTTTCCTCATCTGTCAAATGGGAGGGGGAGGCAATGACTTCTAAGGTCCTTTCCAGCTCCAGATCTCTGATACTGTGATTAGATTTGTTCTTCTTGATTCCAGAGGGAAGAACAAGGTGGGAGTCATGGGCCAATGCAACAGCTCCCAATTCCCTGGATCTTTGAGGTCTATGGAGCCCACCTCTCAAAATGATCCTTTGAGAGACCTGTCATTCCACAGATGCTGACACCACCTCAGAAGGACACTGGGGGGCTCAAATAGGCTGAGAAAAGGGGCTTTGATAAGTTAAGAACATAAGACAAACGTGAGGGACTGTGCTACCTGAGGAAAGAGAGAAATATGTATAGCCAGAGAAGACCAGGATAAAGCCCAATGAAGGAAAAGAAGAAGGAGGATAGTGACCCCATGGACTTGGGGACCAGAGACTCAGGCTCAGGTCCCGGCTTTAATGCTTGTGTGACAGTGGTCAATTCCCTTGGCCTCTGCAGACCCACCCTGACTACCCGCCCCCCTCCAGGGCCATTATAAGGATCAAATGAGATGAAAAAGGGTAAGAGGAAATCTGGAAACCATAACGTTTCATATAAATAACAACCACTTGTTCTGAAGGATTTCTGGACCCAAGGACCAGGAAGACACAGCCACTTGGAGTTCTTTGAGGGCTGCCTAAGAGGTAATCTCTCTTGAACCTGAAGGCTATGCCTGCAGAAACAGTTCAAAGCACCACAGATTCCTCGAAGTGCCTAAGCTATGCAGAACTCTGGGAAAAAAAAGCTTTTTTTTTTTAAATTAAATTGGACCATGCTGGGCTTCATGACTATGCTATCTATCTATAACTTAGCCTGTGTCTAGCTGGTACTCAGATTTTTAGTTGTTATATAATTGCACAGTCAGGCCCGGAATAAGGGAACAAGGATTTATTAATGCACCTACTAAGCAGTAGTGTTCAAGGATTTTACAAATATTACCTCATTTTTAATAATATACCCTGAAGCAAGATATGAACCCAGGTCTTTATGATTCCAAATCCAGTACTCTATCCCCAATACCAAGAGGGAATCAGAAGCCCAGAGAGTGAAAGGGACTCCCCCAAGGTCACACAGCTAGTAAGCATTGGAAGCAGGATTGGGGCCACGGGCTTCCTGGCTTCCATCACTCTCTCCATCATACCACTCCTTTTTACAGCATGGGAAGCTTAGGCCAAGAGAATGAAAGAGACTTCCCAAGGACCCACCACTAGCTAGTATCCAGCGTGAGATTCTTCTCACTTCAAATTCACTGGCTTTATCAAGCAAGGATTTGTTAAGCATCTACTAATCAGTAGTATATAGGGACTTTACAAATATTACCTCAGTTTTATTTTAGTATCCCCAATTTTACAGATGGGGAAACTGAGGCAGACAGTGATCAAGCCACTTGCGCAGGGTCACTGAGGCTAGATTTGAACTCAATTTAAGTCTTCTTGACTTTGGGCCCAGTGTTTCTAGCTGCTACACCACATAGTTCCCTACACCTGAAAGGGACCTAAAAGTCCAACCCTAATGTAGCCTGACCCTTTTGTTTTAGAAGGTAAGATCCTTGAGGGCAGATCCCATGCACTTTCTCATATCTGTTTCCTTAGCATCTACCATCATTCCTGGCGCCCAGAAGGCATATAATAAACGTTTGTTGCTGGATTTCACTCTTGTGGAGAGACCCACAATTACACACAGGGTGAGTGATAAAGTCAGCAATCTCCACACTCAAAGCCGTTTACCATGCTCTCAAAATACTGGCTCAAGGTGACATTTGCACATGACTTCATGGAGGAGAGTGAAGACCCAAGGCTTCAGCCTCAGAAAGGAAAGCTCCCTTCTTTAAGGCTCTTGGGTGGTACCAGCTGCAAACATGACCAGCAGCAAATGTTTATTTCATCACCCAGAGGCCATGCCAGCTTCATGCTCTGTAGCCATCTGCCCAGTCAATGTGTGGCCCAGCCCACGCAGGGGGTAACGAAGGCCTGGACTGGGGAGTCCTAGCCCAGCAGCTCACAGGCTGGGGCATCAGGCATCTCATAAAATAGGGGAGAGGGCACATCTTCTCTAAGGTCCCTCCTAGCTCTAATCTCCATGATCCTTCAGCATCCAATCACTACCCTGCCAGAGCAAACGGCTTTGACCATTCTGCCCTGGATGATGTCCAACAGGTGGTTGGTGGTAGGGGAGGGCACAAGGTATGTGCCCAGGAAAGGGTGCCATCCCCCGAGGGGAGAGAACAGCATAGCCTGGGCCCCTCAATACCCAGCACGTCAGGAACACTGATCTCCATCCCCTGACAGCTGAACGGAAGCTCGCATACCATTGCCCTCCGGGCCGCCCTCCCCATCCCCCCCCAGGCTGCAGCCTTCGTTCTTCTGGTCCTGCATTGAGTTTGGGGCTGAGGCAGGGGGAAATTGGGGTACAGAATGCGGAGGTGGGTCTCCTGTCACTCCCCTCCCTTTTCCAACACCATTTGTCTCCCTCCTCCTTTCTCCTGCCCCAGGGAGACTAAAAGAAACTGTTCCTCATCAGACAGAAGGAAGTTTGATCTCCAAGTTGTTCCCAAGGGCCCCTCTCCAGACCCGCCCTGCCTTCTCCCCAATCTCCTCCCCCCCCCGCCCCCAGCACACACACACACACACACACACACACACACACACACATACACGGCCCTGGGTTCTCGCCAGTGCCCAAACTGTCTCCACTGGGCGCTATTTGATTGCATGAGATATTCTGTAACAAGATAATAAGCTCCCAATCAATGCAGCCATTCTAACCCCGGGTGCCTCCCCCAGCCTGCCAGCCGTGAGGCACCAGCCCTGTGGCCGGGATCAATTCCCAAGTCTCTCTAACCAGCCCCACACCACACACCCTCCCCACCCCCAACCCCCCAAAAAGAAAAAAGAAAAAAGAAAAAAAATCTTATGAAATAACTTCTGCTTACTCTATCAATCTCAACTCTAAGCCCAGGTGCCAGGAGAAACTTTAAAAAAAAAAAAGCCAGTATGGAAGGACGGATGGATTCTATAACTATAGACAGGGCCAGCCCTAACCAGCAAAATGGCAGAGAGAGTCAAGTTGGCCTTCCCTGTCCCTAGGCTCTTGGAAGTCCACACACACACATCCTTCCCACCCCCATCTCAGGTGCTTAGTGCCTTCTGGCTTTATCACTATCACTATCCCTACCCTCAAAGCCAGATCTGAGAAAAGGAAGCCATAGACTCAATCAGCTATTAGCACTCCTTTATACCTCATGGACAAATGCCCTTCTATCCCCTACTGAACCATAGGAAATCAGAGCTGGGAGGGACCTCAGAATGGAGAATCTCAAGGCCCTTAGGGATCCTGGAAATCTACCCAGTCCCCCACCTCAACCCTGCCACACACTCCAATGTTCAATTTTATAGGTGGGGAAGCTGGGAACTACAGTCAAGTAGCTTGCCCAAAGTTGTCCAAGCAGGTCAGCGCCCTTCCCACCTAAGCATCTTGCCCTTCCTTCCTCCCTTAGTCTCATCCTCCTCCCCCAGCCTTAGTGGCTTAGCTCCAAAGACTGACCTCTCTTCAGCAGGCTGGCCCGATATCGACCCTCCAGAGTACAGTTCCAGCGCTCAAATCGGAACTGGTACTGGCACTCCAGGGCACTCATGCTGATGGCCTCCATAAGTGTCTCGGCCACACCCGGATCCCGCCGGCACATGCGTCTCTGCTTCTTCTCCAGCTTGAGCCGGTCACACACTTTGTAGTGGGCCTTTGTGGCAGCCTCCTCCATTTCTGTCGTCAGTGGGAGGATGGTCAGGGGCTCACTGCCTGTCAGCCTGGGGACATAGAGGACAGTGACACAGTCAGCTAGGCACCCTAACCATCCGTGACTTTTGTTGTCGGACCGTAACCTAACATGGTGCAAAAAGCAGTGGGTTTTGAGGAATGAGGAGGCTGTTGGGGCAGAGGCACAGGGAACGTTAAGATAAGGCATGGAATTCCAGATGAGTGCCACAAATATACAGGCTGCACAGTGGGGAACAGAGGAGACAGACAGTAGAGAGGCCCAAATGCCAGGCATGGGAGCTGAAACTGGCACATAGTGAGCACTCAGTAAATGCTTGCTCATTAAACAGCACAAAGACAACAGAAAGCTACTGAAGTATTTTGAGCAAATGAATAGCAGCCCTGCTGGGTCTGCCTAGAACAGGGGGTTTCTTAACAAGGAATCGGTGAACTTGTTTTAATAGTTTGGCAACTGTATTTCAACATAGTTTCCTTTGTAATCTTGTGTATTTTATTTTATGTATTTAAAAACATTATTTTGAGGAGTCCATAGGCTTGCCCTGGGGTCCATCACCCAAAAAAGATGAAGAACCCTTGACCTAGAAGCAGGACTAAGTCCTGGAGCTGCCATTAAGGGGTTTATTACTAAGGCCTATAGCATAATGAATCACTGGGTCTATTTTCAGATGCCATCTCTGCCTCTCGACCTTAAGCAAGTTCCCTTCCTCTTTTCTGAGCCTCAGTTTCCTCCTTTGTAAAATGAGGGTGTCAGACTACATCATGGCCCTCTGCTAACTTTAAATCCCAAAATGAGACCCCCAGAGATTCCAGAGACCCAATTTCCTGGGAGCCAACTCAGTAATTATCAACTGAATCCTTCTCAGCTCAGAGAGGATACACTCTGACAGAATCACAGATCTGTCTGAACAGCTAACCTCTGGTGGATAGAGTTCCTGACATTGAGTCAGGGAGACCCAAGTTCAAATTTTACTTCAGATATTTACTGCTTGTATGATTTTGAACAAGTCTGCCTCAGTTCCTTATCTATAAAATGAGGATAATAACGGCAACTATTTCCCAAGGTTGTTGTGAAGATAAAATGAGATATTTGTAGAGTTCTTTGGAAAACATAGAGGATTCTTCTCCTCCTCCTTCTCCTCTTTCTCTTTCAAGTTGGAGGATCAGGTCAGAAACCTCCTGTCCATTCCTGGCACCCCTATTCTTCTCCCTCAAGGAAACAAACTCCTCTTCCTAGAATCACCCAATCTCATACTTCAAAGATACTTCTGAAACCATCTAGTTCAGCCTACCACAGAGCAGGAACCTCTTCTCCACCCTCCCCAATAAGTGGTCATTCATACACATAATACACATCAACTTGAATGAGTACTTTCCTTTCCCCAACCCCTGCAGCCAGCTTGGTTTTCTCATCTGTGAAATGAGTAGCATAATCAGTAGTGGTACAGCTGTAGGATAAATACTTATCAGGTACCTGCTGTATGCCAGGGCATGTTTTCAGAACTAACAGTACAAACCAGATTGTGTCCTGGAGGACGTTATAATTTAAAAGAGTTCTACAACATGTATTCAGATTAAAAAAAAAACATTCACAAAAGAATGTGACAGAGGTAAAGGAAAGACTTCAACAAAAGACTCTTGGGAAATTTGGAGAAAAAGAGAACATATTCATGGTGTCATGGAAAAGGCACTAGATTTGAAGTCAGAGGACGTGGGTTCAAATTCTGACTCTGCAGCATTCTACCTTTAGGACCTTGGACAAGTCATATTCCTAGAGATTTACATTTCCTGGCCTGTAAAATGAACCTCTAGACTCAAACACTCATTAAGCACTTCTGGTATGCACAAGCACTGGCGATACAAACAGCAAACTAATAATAAAATAATAATAATAATAATAATAATAATAATAATAAACTCTGACCTCATAGGATCACAGATTGAGAAATGGAAGGACTTGGGAAGTCGTTTTACAGACGACAAAACAGAGGCACAGAGAAATAAAGCACATTGTCAAGGTTTACACAGCTACTAAGTGTCTTAAGTGGGATTTGAACCCAGGTTGATCAGACTCTAAATTCAGTGCTCTATCCACTACAACACACTGCCTTCAACAATCTACCTAAAAAGGTACATACAAAATACATACATCTGAGGTAGGGGGAGGATTTGGGATCTCTATCAAAGTGGTAGCATCTTGACAGAAGGGAGGGAATTCAACAGGCAGATCTAAGGGGGAGGGGCATTCTAAGAAAGGCAAGCTAAGTGCACAGAAGATGAGATGGGAATGAGAATGACCAGACTAAGGGACAGAAAATAATCCAGTTTGGATTAATATAGAATGTATGGAGCAGGGGAAGGTGAGATCAAGATAGAAAGGCAGGATGAAGCTTTCTCTGGGACCCTCTTTTCCACAAAGAAAATGTTTTCCCCCAGATGCTAGTAAAGTACAATGGCAACCCCTCCCCAGTGCCCTGCGGATTGGGAAGATGCCCCATGCAGGCATATCATTATCTAGGAATCCAAGGGGGAACTGAACAATGAAACCATAAAGGAGACCATGGCTTGGTTAGGACTGTCCAAAAGCGGAATGATGAGCTCCCCATCACTCAAGGTGTGCATGTAGAGGCAATAGACTCGATGAAAAGTGGTCATGCAGAGGGGATTCCTGTATCAGGCAGAGAGCTGGCTTTCCAAGAGCCCTTCGAGCACTGAGATTCTAGGATTTGATGAATGGCAGCCAACAGCTCCACTTTCCAGGCCCAGGGAAGGGATGCTGCAAGCACTTGGCATGACTTTAGTTGATGGGAATGGGAACTGGTTGGGCAGGAATGAAGAGCTTCTCCTCAACCCCCAGGAGAGCTCAGCACGCAATACCCTCCAGGGCTGGAGGTACAGGCAAGCCTCATTGTGGTATCTGATTCCTGATGGAGGCAGATAGGAGGCCTTGGGAAAGAAAAGAGCAGGTGCCTCTGAAGAGTTAGAGGTGTGGGGGAACACGGGTCACGTGCTCCATCCTTAACATCCCCAATTGATGCTTCCTGGGGGACTAGATCTATCTTCAACAAGGGACAGTTAGCCACTTAAGGGGGCCATCTGTAGGGTATTAACCAAACCATTCATGAACATCTGCTTATCTTCTCCCTCCCCTGCCCCCATCCCCAACTCCAGATAGGGTTGCCAGATAGCTAATGGCTGGCATTTGTATAGTGCCTTGGGGCAACTAGATGGCACCACAGAGCTAGACCTAGAGGCAGGAAGACTCCTCTTCCTGAGTTCAAATCTGACCTCAGATACTTAGTAGCTGTGTGACCCTGGGCAAGTCACTTAACCCCGTTTGCCTCAATTTCCTCATCTGGAAAATGAGCTAGAGAAGGAAATGGCAAGCCACTCCAGTATCTTTGCCTAGAAAACCCCAAACGGTATCCTGAAGAGTTGGACGTGACAGAAATGACCAAACAACAACGTACATTGCTTTAAGGTTTGCAACGCACTTTATGTATATTAACTCACTCCAAATTCCCAACAACCCTGTGAGATGGGTGATATTATAATCCACATTTTTACAGATAATGAAAATGAGGCTGAAAGCTTATGTGCCCAGGGTCACCCAGTTAGTTTCTGAGGCAGGATTCAAATTAAGGTCTTCCTGACTCCAAGTCCTATGCTCTGTCCATCGAGCCACCTGGTTGGCCTAAAGGCTCAAAATCTGTAATACTGATCTCTCTGAATGTCAAAGCTGGAAGAGAACTTAGAAAAGAAGAATCAACAGCTCCAGTTTTTAAAGGATCACAGCCTTAGAGCTGGCAGAGTCCTCCAAAGCCATCTAGTGCAGATCCCTTACTTCACAGACGAGAAAACCATGACTTCAGTAAAGGAAGGCATTGGTCTGTGATCATACAGCTAAGATGTAGCAGAGTCAGACAGAAAACCCAGGTCTCCCCTTATAATGCAGTGCACCCCCCTTCCCACCCCTTCTAAGCTATTCCTGCAAAGGCTTCCAGGGCAACATTCCTAGGATCAGGTTGCTCCAGTCTTTAAAATCCATCTGTGGCTCCCCATTGCCTACAATGGAACTCACCAAGCCCTGTTCTGAGAAACCTACTGCTCCTTGAATGGGACTTCTATGAGAAAAATCTCAGTTCTGATGCTATCTATGCCCCCAAATATTAAGTATGAGGCTGTGTAACACACATCCCTCCTCCCTCAATGAATGCCAGTAATTGGCTCCCCACAAAATAATATTTCACGGCAGCGAGGTGGTTCAGTGGATAAAGTGCTGAGACTGAAGACTTCTTCTCAAGTTCAAATCTGGTCTTAGACACTAACTGTGTGACCCTGGACAAGTCGCTTTTCTCTTTGCCTCAGTTTCCTCATCTGTAAAATGAGCTGGAGAAGGAAATGGCAAACCACTCCAGCATCTTTGCCAAGAAAACACCAAATGGGTCATGAAGAGTTGGACACTGAACAATATTGTTATCCCCGCCATATAGAGAGGAAAACTGAAGAGAGGGGAAATGGTTTGCCCAATGAGACACATGAAGTATCAGAGCTAGGACTGGACTCTCAGCTGTCTGACCACTGAGCCAGCACCCTTTCCCCATACACCAGGCTCTCAGGAAAAGCTCTGTCAAATGACACCACAGTAGGGTTCCCCCTCTCCCTTGTCCTTCCCACAGGGGCCCAAACAGGCAGAAAGCCTCCCAGAGAATACTTTACTAAGTCAGAGACAGGGCCCAAGGCTGATCCTTATGCTCTCCCTTCCCCTTCCGACTGGGGAGAAGAGCAAGGCAGTCTGCTCCACTTCTGTCCCCTGGTGTTATGTCCTAACTCCTAGTCATTCCACCCTCGGGCATGCCTGGCTTCCTGCCAGCCATTCCACCCCCTCCCTTAACCCACCATGTGTTGGCATCCATCCGTCTCCTCTCCTTTCTGCCCAGACAGTGCCAAAGGACACACTGGAATGGGTCATGAATCACCCAGTTGGTCTGTGGGATGCCTCGGGCTGTCAATCACTCAGTCAGTCAACAAG